AAAAAAAAAAAAAAAAAAAAGCTAAGCCCCTTGGTCTGGGCAAAGGGACCTATAATGTTGTTGGTCCCCTGTGTAACCATTCAGACCTGGGAATGTTAGGACGGGGTGGCTGAGTCCCCCAGGTGCCCCCAGGGAGGGACGGAAGACACACCCCACCCATGGGGCCCCCATTCCCAGCATTCTCGGGGGCAGAGAGAGAAGCCCCAATTGAAGTGGTTTCCTCTGTGAGCTGTGCCAGCCCGAGGCCCCACCCCCCGTTTGATGTCAGGAGGAGCCGAACCCTGTCCTCCACCGTCCAGGGACAGCTGGTGACAGCCAGGCACCCTGGGAAGTCAGGACTGAGCCTCTTTCCCCTCCCAGTCCCCTCTGAGTTTTATGATCCCCAAAGTGTCTGGGCCATGGGAGGAGGGGCTGCTGTAAATGTGGGGACCCCGGGCGAGAGCCACCCTACTCTTCCAGGTCTGGACACTGTCCCCAGCTTGGACAAGGACAGCAGTCCCAGCCCAAAGCCCGGGCAGCGCTGGAGAGGGGCAGTGTCCACTGTGTGTCCATTGACAGTGTCCCCAGCTGGCGGAGCCCTGTAGACCCAGCCCATGCTCCGAGGTACGGGGGGCAGCGTCCAGGATGAGGCTCCCAGGGTCCTGTGGGTGTCACAGGGTGGCTGAGAGTAGACACCAGGTGCCCGGTGTCATGTTCACAAACCAGAGACTGCGGAAGGCCACTGGGCCCCCCGCAGAGACAGTACTGCAGGGCTGTGATCCAGGGCGGGTGAGTGTCCCCAGGTGCCAAGCCGGTGACACCTGAGTCTCAGCATGCCAAGCCTGCCGGGGTGAGCACGGGAGCCTAGCTAACAGCACTCCAAACAGTGGCCAGGAGGGGCAGGGAGAGTGGCAGGGGCTGGGGATACCCTGCAGCAGAGGGCAACCAGTGGCTGGCCTCGGCGGGGTCCCCAAGTCCCCAGCAGGCTCAGCTGTGACAGAGATGTATTCAGAAGAGCTTATCTGGTCCTCACTGGCGGCCCAGGGGACCAGGCTGGGACCAAGCTTCCCTGGATGGTGTCAAGCAGGCATGAAGGCAGGTGGGGACATCCCTACGGAGTCCCTTCTTGGGCCAGAATGAACTTGTTTTTCAGTTCTGGGAATCAAACCCAGGGCCTCTGCACTGAGCTACATCCTCAGCTGTTTTTATTTTCTATTTTGAGACAGGATCTCACTAAGTTGTCCAGGCTTGATTCAAACTTGGAATCCTCCTGCCTCAGCCTCCCAGAGCCATGGGATGACAGGCATGCACCCCTGTGTCCACATCCTCTGGTCTTAATTGTTCACTGAGCCCCACCCAAGCCCCCACCAGTGATGTTTAGTACATTCTTAGTGCTGTATTACCACCACCTCCATCTAGTTCCAGAGCACCCCATCACCCCAAAACCAGCCCTGTCCCTATGAGCAGTCACCCATCCCCTCCCAGCCCCGGCACCCCAAGTCCACTTCCTGTCTCTGGAGTCGCCTGTCCTGGGCATTTCCTGTCCATGGAGCCCACACTGCGTCCTCTGTGTCTGGCGTCTCTCACTGAGCACAGTGTCCTCAGGGTCTGTCCACGCTGTGGAGAGTGTCACAGCCTCACTCCTCTTCCTGGCCATGCAATATTCCAGCATGCCTACGGACCCCAACGTGCATGCCCATCTGTCCATCCATGGAGATGCATGTTGTCCCCACCCATTGGCTGTGAACGTGGGATCCGAAGTCCTTTTCACCTCCCCTCTCTCCTTGTGCCGCGCACAGGTGTCCAAAGCTTCATCGGAGCTCATGAGCTACTGCGAGCAGCACGCAAGGAGCGACCCCTTGCTGGTTGGAGTCCCTGCCTCCGAGAACCCCTTCAAGGACAAGAAGCCGTGTATTATTCTATAGCTCTTCTCTCTCCCCCTCTCCTTCTCTGTCTGTCTGTCTCTCCCTCTCCCTCCTGCAAGGCATCATCTGAAACTTAGTGCAAACAAAACATCTCAGTCCCCTAAACTTTGGGTCCCAAAAGAAATGCCTGTGCTCCCCTCCTGCCCCGAGGGGATAACACCTCCACGCCCAGGGACGCTGGGTCTTCTCACCCAACAGAGCAGCACCCCTGGGGGGCTCCCAAAAACAGAGATGGTGGCTTCCAGCCTTTCCCCCATGAGGAATAACCGGACCGCCCCGGTGCTGTGGTGACGATTTTGGAAAACTCTCCATGGTGCAGAGAGTGGAGGGGGAGGACTGGGGAACAGATCCAGGGACAGGAGGGTGATCTCGCTGCCAGCCGAGAGGCCTGTGATGCATCCGTGATGCATCCACACCGGGCGGCTGGGACACTTTTTATTTTGTAAGCAGAGGTCAAATGAGGGGTGAAGGGTTGACATCAGGAACTTCCTTCGGGGGAAAAAGTCTCTCCTTTCCATTTAAAACATTGTGACCGCAACCCACTGAAACAGGGCCGGGTAACACAGAAATGGGCTTTCGGGTGGGGAGGGAGCTGCCCAGGAAATGTCAGTCTCTCCATGGCCTTGGTCATTCCACAGCCACAGTCTCCCCCATCCCAGCACAGAAGTGGATTCGCTGGAAAGCGCCAGCACCAAGACCCGGCCGGCAGTTAGCAGCCTGCTCAGTTCTACTTCTGCCCATCACCAGGGCTTGCTTGCTTGCTTTCATTTTATTGGGGTTGGAGGTGGCACTAGGGATGGATCCCAGAGTTTTCCCACTGAGCTCCATCCCCAGCCCTTTTTTTTTTTAATTTTTGGTACCGGGGATCAAACTCAGGACTTTGCACTTGCGAGGCAGCCGCGGTGCCATTGAGCTAAATCCCCGACCCAAGGCTTTTTTATTTTTTGAGACGGGATCTTGTTAAGTTGTCCAGGCTGGGCTCCAACTTGGAACTCTCCTTCCTCAGCCTCCCAGAGTGCTGGGATGACAGGCATGTGCCCTCACGCCTGGCCAAAAGTTGCTGAATTATCTTGAAGTAGCTGTGAAGGACTCTCTGAGCTGAGGTCCTTTGTGCCAGACGCGCCAGCAGCAGCTGTGCTTGCTGCCATGTCCATCACCCTCAATGGTTTCGCTTTTCAACCCTGTAGGACCCGGGCCCTTCAATGTGAGGACAGGAGAGAGGTCTGCTAGGCTCAGGGTCTGCGTGTCAGTCCCTCCCACCAGCCTGGCAACGTAGGATGTCACAGGGTGGGCCCAGGGGCCAGATCATGACAAGAACAGAGACAGATGGCAGCAGGAAGAGGCTTCATGCACACCCTGCCAGTGTCACCTGTAGCCACACCTGGGATGCACCCTAAGCAGCCCAGACCCCGATCTGCCCTGGACCCTGGAGTCCCCAGTGGCTCCGCCACAGAGCTCAATCCAACAGCAAACAGAGAGAAAACTAGCCTGGCTCTGTGGCCCAATGGACATCAGAATCCAGGCCCAAGCCAGGGTGATCCCTGGACAGTTGCCCAGGTCACCCATGCTACCAGTAAGATGAGGCCAGCAGCCTCAGTGGATTCCCCAGTGCTCCTGGGGCAGCAGGCACTGCATCCCCCGTCACCAGGGCCCATCGGGCAGGACACAGATCAGAGCCAGTGCAGTGCCCAGGCTGCCCGAGCCCCTCTTCAGGGGCTCCGTAGGGCACAGGGTGCCAGTGCAGGCCTCTCCCTGGCACTGCTCTCTACGGCTGGTCCGGGAGGGCCAGGGGCTTTGGGGAGCCCAGCTGAACTGGGAGAGGCGCAAAGTCTCCCCAAAGCCGCATGGAGCTGCTAGCAGGTGGGGCCGAGCGTGGCCTCCCCATCCCTGCAGAGCCGGGGAAGGGACAGAAGGGCCGACCCCAGGGCCTGGCAGGGGGGGTGCCAGAGCCTACAGGTAACCACTGCTGAGGGGCAGGGACAGGCACGGCTCCCAGGGAGGAAGCCCCCAGCCCAGCATCATTTTCCCAGGGTCCATGTTGGTCCCCATTTCTCTTTCAAAGAAGCCTTAATACTTTGAGCACCCACCCTGCTGTCCTTCCTCCCTGCATCTTGGCCCCGTGTTGGTTGGCAGCGCCCTGTGGGCCCAAACCCTCTCCTCCTGTCTGACACTGCCCTGCAGGACTGAGGGAGGGGAGGACACATGTGCCGAGCCCGGCCCCACAACTGAATGTCCGCACAAATGTCGCCCGGGAAGCTGCCACACTGGGGGGGAACAGGGGGGTCCGGGCCTCTCGGCTCAGCTCTGCGGACCCCAAAGGGGGATCCTGAGCAGGAGTCAGGGAGCGGGGTGTCTTCCCACACTGGGCACACTGAGGCCGGAGGAGAGGGCAGGCTGGCATCTTCCTCAAGCCGGCCCTCAGCTGACTTCCCTGCATCACCCCGGCCCCTCCATGCCCCACATCCTTCTCCAGGTGCCACCACCCTGTGCCCGAGTCTGGTGACCAGATGGCCACAGCCTCAGGCCTCAGGGAGGTGGTGAAGGGCAGAAGCCTGTGAGTTTCTTTCTAAGCTTAGAAGGAAACAATCCTTTTTCCCTACCTCCCTGTTACCGTAAACCCAGCACCCTCCCACACAGAAGACAAAGGGACTGTCCTCCCTCCGCTTTTTTTTTTCTTCTGTGTGATACAGGGATGGAACCCAGGGCTTTCACACCGAGCTCCAAGCCCAGCCTTTGTTTCATTTTTTATTTTGAGATAGGGTCTCACTAAGTTGCTTAGTTGCCCAGGCTGGGCTGGACCCTCCTGCTTCAGCCTCCCAGAGTGCTGAGATGACAGGTCTGTGCCACCGCTCCTGGCTTGTCCCTCATCCTTACAGCCTGGCCCAGAGCTTCCCGGGGCTCCTCCAGTGAGGGTGCAGGCAGAGGGGCCACCACACCTGGCCGAGCCCCCTTCTAGGCCAAGGCCCAGCAGCCCTGTCCTTTGCCCTCCCTTATACTACGAAGAAACTAGAACACGCCTCCCTGTCCCCAAGGTGAACCCCACTCCCAGGCCAAGAATGAAGTGGCTCTGTTGTGACCTCCGGCCTGCAGGGAGGGCGGAAGGTGCTGTCTCTCTGAGGAGTCCCTGACATCGAGGCGGGCTGGAGCCACCCTGCTGCCAAGGGCCTGGGCCTGCCTGAGCTCAGCAGGGACAGGAAAAGCCCGCCAGACCCCTGCTCAAGCCTGACCTGAAGCCACCTCCCGTCCCTGTCCTTGAGCGCACTCAGCATGAGCTGGCCTTCGGCTGGGTCCCACACAGAAGCCATAGGACTCTGCGACTCGGCTCCTCTCCATCCTCGGTCATCGCTGCCAAACACCGTCCATCCCGGGGCCCCTGTTTCCGGCAGCCCTGTCCCTCCTGGCTCTGGAAGTCCCTGGTGTTTCTTCCTGAATTTTTAAAACTACACGTCCCGCGCCCACTCCCTCGCAGAGTTTAACACCATGTGGAATTGTTACTACCACCCCGTTCATACACAATAAAATGCTCACTTTTCCTTTTCCCAGCTCTCCTCTCGTCCTTCAGTTCCAAGCCGGAGCACAGGGCATGGGATAGCCGTCCCCAAGGCCTGCCCAGCCTGGTGGCACACACCGGATGCACACAGATCTGACGCTCAGCCCCAGTGCACTTTCGGGGCTGCAGAGGAGCTATTTAGGGAGCCGCACACACCTGGGCTTGTCGTGCACAGGCCTGCATTGTTTCGGTTTTGCCTCGCTCTTTTTTGCTTTTTTATTTTATTTTATTTTTGCAGTACAGGAATTGAGCCCAGGGCCTTTGCACTAAGCTAAATCCCCAGCCCTTTCTAAAATTTTTACTTTGAGACAGGGCCTTGCTGAGTAGCTCAGGCTGACTTGAATTTGAGATCTTCCTGCCTCAGCTTCCCAGAATGCTGGGATAACAGGCGTGTGCCACCACCCCTAGCTGGTGCTAAGGTCTTTTAAAGGCCGAAAGGGTAGAATGGTCTCAATCCTACCTCCTTGGCATGGTGATTTCCAACTACCTGGAACCCACCCTGGACCGTTCAGCTGCCCCTGGGGAGAAGACCTTTGAGAACCAGAGCTTCATTTCCTACCACAGTCAAAAGTTAAAAAAAAAAGTTAAAAAAAAATTTTTTGGAGACTGGGTTTCACTGTGTAGTTCAGGCTGGCCTTGAACTCACAGTGATCTTCCTACTGGAATTATAGGCGTGTGCCACCACATCCAACTACAAGTTAAAATTTTAATAATAAAATCTTCCAGCCAGGCATAGTGGTACACACCTGGCACCAAGCTACTTGAGAAGCTGAGGCAGGAGGACCAAACTTTTTGTGTGCCTTTTTTTTTTTTTGGTACCAGGGATCAAACTTGGGACCTTTCGAGGCAGGTGGTGGAACCACTGAGCTAAATCCCTGGCAAGGGGGACCAAACTTTTGAGGCCAGCTTGGGCAACTTACTGAGACCCTGTCTTAAAGTAAAGAATAAAATAGGCTGAGGGTATAGCTCAGTGTTAGAATGTCCCTGGGTTCCATCCATAGTACTGGAATAATAATAATGATAACAATAAGGCCGGGGGTTTCGCTCAGTGGTTCTGCTGGCTGCCTTGCAAGTGCAAGGACCCAAGTTCGATCCCTGGTACCAAAAATAATAATAATAATTTTTTTAAAAAAACAGTGAAATCAAATGGATAATTCTGACCTCTGAGGAGAGAGGAGCTTTGTCTACATAAAACCTTTATACATTTGACTACAGCATTTTGCCCAGTGAATTCCCTTTGTGTCCAGTAAATGCTGCTGGTCCACCAGTCGCTTAGTATCTATTGGATCAACTATCACAGCTTGCCAAGCCAGATGTGGTGGCACACACCTGAAGTTCCAGCCACTCAGGAGTCTGAGGCAGGAGGATTTCAAATTTGAGCCCAAACTGGGCAACTTAGTGACTTATCAAGACCCTGTCTCAAAATAAAAATTTTTCAAAGGCTGGGGCTAGCTCAATGTTGAGTGCTTGCTTGGCATACGGAAGGCCCTGAGTTCGTCTCCAGCACCACCACCAAAAGAAAGAATCTCACAGTAGACCCTATAGGCCATAGCAGAGCCGGTTCAGAAAACAGCTTGAGGTTAACCTAGGACAGCAAAGCCAGGAGCGAACAAGTGGGTGGCTTAGCCATGATGACTGCAGCTGGCAGTTTGATCGGGGACATGGTCTCCAAGTTAGCAAGTCCAAGCCAAAGGTGGAGGGGCAGCCCCTGGGGCCCTGGCCGCAGAGCCCACGAGCGGTCGCCCAGCTGCAGGAAGTCAGAGCCATCCCCTTGCAGAGCCAGATCAGCAGCAGGCGGGAGACAGATGAGATTTCAGGGCCAAAGGAGGACCATGCCGCTCCAGGCCAGCCCCAGAGTCTGCAGGCCTCATAGAAAGCCCGCAGCAGGGCATGTTTCCAAACACTTCTGAGAATTTCAAGGCCATGATGGCAAGGCCTTAGAACCAGCCAACACCGGGCCCTGGGTGACTCAGAGGTCACATGCCCATTAGGTCCGCTCGCCTCAGCCACCAAAATACCTTCCAGGCTTCCTAAGGGCTTTAAGCTCTCCTAGGGCAGAAAGAAATTGAAGCAGATCGAAGTCATCAAAGGTGGAAACCTTTCTTTCAGAAAGGAGCGCCAGGAGTCAGATCCACAGGGACAGGAAGGAGGAGGACGGTGCCAGGCTGGGGAGGGGACGGGGGTCAGCGTTTCCTGGGACAGGGCTCAGCTGGGGAGATGGAAAGTCCTGGAGGTGGGTGGCGGGGCCGGCACAGCCGAGGGATGCGCTCGATGCCACTGGGCCGGGCACTGAGGGCTAAAGTGGTTAGTTTTCTGTTGTGCTTCTTTTACCACTAAATAAATCAACCCGACGTTCACCTGAATGACTAGAACTAAAAACTTGGTTTTAGTGGGGATTTGCAGCAGCCAAAGCTCTCCGAGGTGGTCGGCGAGAGTATGTCCTTGCACTGCCACTTGGCACAGGGCTTGCCACTTTCCTGTGACACCGGACACACCCATGCCATGACCCAGCATTGCTACCTGACTATTTACCCAAGGGAAAGAAAAACACACCACCAAATGTCTCGGAAGGAATGTTCAGAGTCAAAAACTGGAAACATCTCAGGTATTCATCTGCCAGGCACAGTGGCCCCTAGCTGTCATCCCAGTAGTCTGGGAGGCTGAGGCAGGAATATTACAAATTAGACCCCAGCCTGGGCAATTTAGCCACTTAGTGAGACCCTGTCTTTTGTTTTGGTTTGGTTTTTTCCTTTTTCTGGTTTCTTTTTTGGTTTGGTTTTTGTTTTGTTTTGTTTTGTTTGCGGTACCGAGAATCAAACTCAGGACCTTGCACTTATGAGGCAGGCATGGTGCCACTGAGCTAAATCCCTGGCCCTTGGTTTGGTTTTTTTTTGGTACCAGGGATCGAACTCAGGTCCTTGCATTTTCACAGCAGGCAGCGAAACCATTGAGCTAAATCCCTGGCCCTTTTTGTTTGTTTTGAGACAGAGTCTTACTGTGTAGCCCAGGCAGGCCTCAAAATCACAGCAATCCTCCTGCCTCAGCCTCCTAAGTGCTAGGATTACGGTTATGTGCTACCGTGCCCAGTGTGGGACCCTGTTTTAAAATAAAAAATAAAAAAAGGTGAGGATGTAGCTCAGTATAAGAGTCTTGGGTTCAATCTCTACCAATGCAAGAAAAATAAAGTGCAGGCTAATGTTAAGTGCAGTAACATGGACAATCACAGAAACGTTATGCTCAGGGAAATAAACCTTATGGAAGGAGGGCAGAATGATCCCATTTACATGAAATTGTGGAACAGCCACTACTGAGCACATGCAGCCTGCATGATAACAGGACACCAAAACATCCACATCCTACTCCCAGAGGCTGTGAATGTGTTATAGGAAGTGAAAGAAATTGTAGATGGAATTAAGTTAAGGATTATTTTTTCTTCTCCAAAGCTGGGGATGGAACCCAGGCTTTTTGCACTGAGCTGCATCCCAACCTTCTTATTTTTTATTTTGAGACAGAGTCTTGCTACATTGCCCAGGCTGGTCTGGAACTTTTGACCCTCCTGCCTCAGCTTCCCAGAGCACTGGATGATAGGCGTGTGCCACCACGCCTGGCCAAGTTAAGGATCTCCAGATGGGAGATTATTGCGGATTATCTGAGGTGGCCCAGCATAATTACAGGGTTTTATGAGGGGGACAGGAGGGACAGAGTCAGAAGACGAGACAGGATAGGGGTAAGAAGGTGGAGTACATGAAGTTACGAGCCAAGGAACACAGGAGCAGCCCCAGGCACTGAAACAGACACCGAAACTGGGGAACAGTCAGCTTGCAAAGGCGACCCCTGCGACCCCAGCTATGTGACATTCTGCAAAAGGCAAAGTTATGGAGTGGGTAGAAGAGTCCTCTGAAACCAAGCCAAAGAACCTCCGGATTATAGCAAGACACCTCATAGCTATGCCTGGGCCCCCTCAGGAGCTGAGGCTGGTGCCAGCAGCCTGTCCTTCACCTAAGTCAAACAAGAAAAAGATAATGGAGCTGAGTGTGGTGGCACACACCTGTCATCCCAGCACTCTGGGAGGCTGGAGCAGGAGGATCTCAAGTTCAAGCCCAGCCTGGGCAACTTAGCAATTGAGTGAGACCCTGTCTCAAAATAAAAAATAAAAGGGCTGGGGGTGGAGCTCAGTGCAAAGGCCCTGGGTTCAGTTCCCAGCACCATAAACACATACAAAAAAAATAAAAAACCAACCCCAACTTTGGGTGACACAAATGTTCTGCCCACGACCTCCCCCAGCTGCAGGAAGGGCTGGAACCTGCCCTCCCCCGACACTCAGCTGCCACATCTGTCCCCCAGCCTCACCCCGGCCACCCCTGGGCAGCCACCTGAGCAGGGAGGAAGGGTGTGCTCTCCACATCTCGTTCCCTTCCTGAGTAGCACGCTTGGGAACAGCCCCCTGTGGAAGAGCGCTTGGTTTTCCTAAGACTCGAGCTTGGGCCAGGGATGGTGGACCCCCCCCCGCCATGGCCCCATTTCCCATGATGATGACCAGAGGGCTGGAAGGAGTGGTCTGCCAGCCCCTGAAATCACTCTCAAAGAGACAGCAAGATGGCACTGAAAGGGACAGGAGAGGCAAGTGTTGCCACAGACTGAGGTCTGAGACTTCTGGTAACTCCTGGCTCCTGTTTCCTGGTCTGTGAAGCTGGGCCTGCAGGAGGCATGAGAGTTGAATGCTGACTTCCCCTCTGGTCAACCTGAGGCTTCCTCTGCATTTCCGGCTGTTTCTTTCGAGGTGACAGCTGTCTTGCAGCCTTTCTGTGAAGGGGCCTGGCTAGGCCCTGGCATCTCAGCCTCTCTGCCCTGGTTCTGGATGCCAACTTCAGTTCCCACTTGAGGACAGGTTCAGGGGGTCAGAATGACAGAGGACAGCCTCAGAGGTCAGGGCCGAGCCTAGTGGCTTCACACCTTGCCCCAGGTTTCTGGGAGGGATCATGGTGCTGT